CCTTCTCTTCTGATCTCATGTGTCTCATCAGTTTTGTATCTGGCGGAGAAAGGATTGATGTGTATATGTGTCTCAAACATGTGTCTCAGACTCACAAGACAAGAGGCAGCGTGTCTTAACCCCACAAGACAAGAGGCAGCGTGTCTTAACCCCACAAGACAAGAGGCAGCGTGTCTTAACCCCACAAGACAAGAGGCAGCGTGTCTTAACCCCACAAGACAAGACCCCACGAGAGAAAGAGTGTCTTAACCCCACAAGAGAAGAGGAAGAGTGTCTTAACCCCACAAGACAAGAGGCAGTGTGTCTTAACCCACAAGACAAGAGGTAGTGTGTCTTAACCTTAACCCCACAAGACAAGAGGCAGTCTTAACCCCACAAGACAAGAGGCAGCGTGTCTTAACCCCACAAGACAAGAGGCAGCGTGTCTTAACCCCACAAGACAAGAGGCAGCGTGTCTTAACCCCACAAGACAAGAGGAAGAGTGTCTTAACCCCACAAGACAAGAGGTAGTGTGTCTTAACCCCACGAGACAAGAGGAAGAGGTTCTTAACCCCACAAGACAAGAGGCAGTGTGTCTTAACCCCACAAGACAAGAGGCAGTGTGTCTTAACCCCACAAGACCAAGAGGAAGAGTGTCTTAAACCCACAAGACAAGAGGTAGTGTGTCTTAACCCCACAAGACAAGAGAAGTGTGTCTTAACCCCACAAGACAAGAGGCAGTGTGTCTTAACCCCACAAGACAAGAGGCAGTGTGTCTTAACCCCACAAGACAAGAGGCAGCGTGTCTTAACCCCACAAGACAAGAGGCAGCGTGTCTTAACCCCACAAGACAAGAGGCAGTGTTGTCTTAACCCCACAAGACAAGAGGCAGCGTGTCTTAACCCCACAAGACAAGAGGCAGCGTGTCTTAACCCCACAAGACAAGAGGCAGCGTGTCTTAACCCCACAAGAGGCAGCGTGTCTTAACCCCACAAGAGGCAGCGTGTCTTAACCCCACAAGACAAGAGGCAGCGTGTCTTAACCCCACAAGGCAAGAGGCAGCGTGTCTTAACCCCAGTGTCTTAACCCCACAAGACAAGAGGCAGCGTGTCTTAACCCCACAAGACAAGAGGCAGCGTGTCTTAACCCACAAGACAAGAGGCAGCGTGTCTTAACCCCCACAAGACAAGAGGCAGAGTGTCTTAACCCCACAAGACAAGAGGCAGCGTGTCTTAACCCCACAAGACAAGAGGCAGTGTGTCTTAACCCCACAAGACAAGAGGAAGAGTGTCTTAACCCCACAAGACAAGAGGCAGCGTGTCTTAACCCCACAAGACAAGAGGCAGCGTGTCTTAACCCCACAAGACAAGAGGCAGCGTGTCTTAACCTCACAAGACAAGAGGAAGAGTGTCTTAACCCCACAAGACAAGAGGCAGCGTGTCTTAACCCCACAAGACAAGAGGCAGAGTGTCTTAACCTCACAAGAAGGCGTCGAGCCCTGAGGCCACAAACAAGTGGGTGATCAACATAACTAAAGTTATTGACCCTCTGGTCGGGGCAGTGGAGGTCAAGGCTGTTGTAACCCGTCAGGTTCAGGCGCTGTTGTGACCTTGATTGTGTCAGCTTTTGTCTTCCTCAAACCTTGATTGTCTCAGCTTTTGTCTTCCTCAAACCTTGATTGTGTCAGCTTTTGTCTTCCTCATACCTTGATTGTGTCAGCTTTTGTCTTCCTCATACCTTGATTGTCTCAGCTTTGTCTTCCTCAAACCTTGATTGTCTCAGCTTTTGTCTTCCTCATACCTTGATTGTCTCAGCTTTTGTCTTCCTCATACCTTGATTGTGTCAGGTTTTGTCTTCCTTATACCTTGATTGTGTCAGCTTTTGTCTTCCTCATACCTTGATTGTCTCAGCTTTTGTCTTCCTCATACCTTGATTGTCTCAGCTTTTGTCTTCCTCATACCTTGATTGTCTCAGCTTTTGTCTTCCTCATACCTTGATTGTGTCAGCTTTTGTCTTCCTCATACCTTGATTGTCTCAGCTTTTGTCTTCCTCATACCTTGATTGTGTCAGCTTTTGTCTTCCTCATACCTTGATTGTGTCAGCTTTGTCTTCCTCATACCTTGATTGTGTCAGCTTTTGTCTTCCTCATACCTTGATTGTGTCAGCTTTTGTCTTCCTCATACCTTGATTGTCTCAGCTTTTGTCTTCCTCATACCTTGATTGTGTCAGCTTTTGTCTTCCTCATACCTTGATTGTCTCAGCTTTTGTCTTCCTCATACCTTGATTGTGTCAGCTTTTGTCTTCCTCATACCTTGATTGTCTCAGCTTTTGTCTTCCTCATACCTTGATTGTCTCAGCTTTTGTCTTCCTCATACCTTGATTGTATCAGCTTTGTCTTCCTCACACCTTGATTGTCACAACTTTGTCTTCCTCATACCTTGATTGTCACAACTTTGTCTTCCTCATACCTTGATTGTCCCAGCTTTTGTCTTCCTCCTATCGTACCTGTCAGAGGTTTGTCTTCCACAGTTAACAACCATAAGCTGCAGGAACACAGACAGACACACACACCAAGCTGAGGAATACTGAGACACACCTGCTGGAGGGCAAATAACTCTCACTAAGATGTAATGTTGAAGGCAGTGGAACTCCGGCAACTCACAGTGTTTAGGGAAGACTTGGAACCACCAACGTTGCCTGTAGCCGTCACATGTTCCAACACTCATATGTTGAAGCTTTCACGTGTTGTAACACTCATATGTTGAAGCTTTCACGTATTGTAACACTCATATGTTGAAGCTTTCACGTGTTGTAACACTCATATGTTGAAGCTTTCACGTGTTGTAACACTCATATGTTGAAGCTTTCACGTGTTGTAACACTCATATGTTGAAGCTTTCACGTGTTGTAACACTCATATGTTGAAGCTTTCACGTGTTGTAACACTCATATGTTGAAGCTTTCACGTGTTGTAACACTCATATGTTGAAGCTTTCACGTGTTGTAACACTCATATGTTGAAGCTTTCACGTGTTGTAACACTCGTATGTTGAAGCTTTCACGTGTTGTAACTCTCATATGTTGAAGCTTTCACGTGTTGTAACACTCATATGTTGAAGCTTTCACGTGTTGTAACACTCATATGTTGAAGCTTTCACGTGTTGTAACACTCATATGTTGAAGCTTTCACGTGTTGTAACACTCATATGTTGAAGCTTTCACGTGTTGTAACACTCATATGTTGAAGCTTTCACGTGTTGTAACACTCATATGTTGAAGCTTTCACGTGTTGTAACACTCATATGTTGAAGCATTCACGTGTTGTAACACTCATATGTTGAAGCTTTCACGTGTTGTAACACTCATATGTTGAAGCTTTCACATGTTGTAACACTCATATGTTGAAGCTTTCACGTGTTGTAACCTTCACATGTTGTGACTCACCTGCCTTATGGAGGGCAAGTACACCAAGGTAGCATTTGTTATTCTTATTTTGGGCTAAACATTAGGTTTACCCCCCACCCGGAGTTACCCACCGGGGCACCCTACCCACCCGGAGTTACCCACCGGGGCACCCTACCCCCCCTCTGGTGTTACCCACCGGGGGCACCCTACCCCCCCTCTGGTGTTACCCACCGGGGCACCCTACCCCCCTCTGGTGTTACCCACCGGGGGCACCCTACCCCCCTCTGGTGTTACCCACCGAGGGCACCCTACCCCCCCTCTGGTGTTACCCACCGGGGCACCCAACCCCCTCTGGTGTTACCCACCGGGGCACCCTACCCCCTCTGGTGTTACCCACCTGGGGCACCCTACCCCCTCTGGTGTTACCCACCTGGGGCACCCTACCCCCCTCTGGTGTTACCCACCTGGGGCACCCTACCCCCTCTGGTGTTACCCACCGGAGGCACCCTACCCCCCCTCTGGTGTTACCCACCGGGGCACCCTACCCCCCCCTCTGGTGTTACCCACCGGGGCACCCTACCCCCTCTGGTGTCACCCACCTGGGGCACCCTACCCCCTCTGGTGTTACCCACCTGGGGCACCCTACCCCCCTCTGGTGTTACCCACCTGGGGCACCCTACCCCCTCTGGTGTTACCCACCTGGGGCACCCTACCCCCTCTGGTGTTACCCACCGGGGCACCCTACCCCCCCCCCTGGTGTTACCCACCTGGGGCACCCTACCCCCTCTGGTGTTACCCACCTGGGGCACCCTACCCCCCCCCCTGGTGTTACCCACCTGGGGCACCCTACCCCCTCTGGTGTTACCCACCGGGGCACCCTACCCCCTCTGGTGTTACCCACCGGGGCACCCTACCCCCTCTGGTGTTACCCACCTGGGGCACCCTACCCCCCCTCTGGTGTTACCCACCGGGGCACCCTACCCCCTCTGGTGTTACCCACCGGGCACCCTACCCCCTCTGGTGTTACCCACCTGGGGCACCCTACCCCCCTCTGGTGTTACCCACCGGGGCACCCTACCCCCCCCTGGTGTTACCCACCTGGGCACCCTACCCCCTCTGGTGTTCCCCACCGGGGCACCCTACCCCCCCCCTGGTGTTACCCACCTGGGGCACCCTACCCCCTCTGGTGTTACCCACCGGGGCACCCTACCCCCCCTCTGGTGTTACCCACCGGGGCACCCTACCCCCTCTGGTGTTACCCACCGGGGCACCCTACCCCCCTCTGGTGTTACCCACCGGGGGCACCCTACCCCCCCTCTGGTGTTACCCACCTGGGGCACCCTACCCCCTCTCTGGTGTTACCCACCGGGCACCCTACACCCCCCTCTGGTGTTACCCACCTGGGGCACCCTACCCCCTCTCTGGTGTTACCCACCTGGGGCACCCTACCCCCCTCTGGTGTTACCCACTGGGGCACCCTACCCCCCCTCTGGTGTTACCAACCGGGGCACCCTACCCCCCCCCCCCCACACCCCAGCATTTCGCGAAAAATCGTTAGCGTCTTGTTAAAAATCTTGTGATGGATGTGGGGTCATTACATACATTTTTTGAGGTAATCAGTCCCAAGCCGCAGCCGCAGCCACAGCCGCCGCCACAGCCACAGCCGCAGCCACAGTCGCAGCCACTGCTACAGTCGCAGCCACAGCTACAGCCAAAGCCGCAGCCGTAGCCACAGTTGCAGACTCAGCCGCAGCCGCAGCCACTGCTACAGCCGCAGACACAGCCGCAGCCACTGCTACAGCCGCAGACACAGCCGCAGCCGCAGCCACAGCCGCAGCCACTGCTACAGCCAAAGCCGCAGCCAAAGCCGCAGCCGTAGCCACAGCCGCAGACACAGCCGCAGCCGCAGCCACTGCTACAGCCGCAGACACAGCCGCAGCCACTGCTACAGCCGCAGACACAGCCGCAGCCACTGCTACAGCCGCAGTCATTCATTAAATTCATTAGCTGTAATGTTAGCATAAATAACGGTAGTAGGTCTAAGAGACCCAACAAGCGAGAAGGAATATTCAATCAATTCAATTTCAACAATAAGAGGATTGACTGGGAAAAAATAAATGTAGACCTTGCAACCATTCAATGGGAGACGGTCTTAAGCGACAAAACTCCCACACAGGGAATAGCTCAACTGACAGCTGAAGCTTACAAGGTCTGCTTGAAGCACGTACCTGTGAGGAGGGGCAGAAAGAGGACCACTCTAGAAAGAGAACGCAGACGACTGTACAGAAGAAAAAAAATAACGGAAATGCTTCGGCAGACACAACTATCACAAGAAAGGAAAATAAACTTAAACAGGGAGATCGAAGAAATAGAACAAACGTTGAAGCGATCATACGAGTCCTGAGGAAATGCAATTGGAACAGAAAGCTATACAAGAGATAAAGAAAAATCCAAAATATTTTTCACATACGCAAAATCAAAATAAAAAACCTCGACCAGTAATGGACCTTTATTACAACCGTAGGTACGTACACAGAGGACAACAAAGACATTAGTGAAATTCTAAGAAGCCAGTATGAGGCTATGTTTAGCGCACCAATAAACAACATGAAAGTTGATGACCCAGACAGCTTCTTTATGAATGACATTCAAGCTGCAGATAATATAACGGATATTAACACGAACTCGGAAGACTTTGAAAGATAAATTGACAATATGCCCATGCACTCAGCTCCTGGGCCTGACTCATGGAATTCAATATTCATAAAGAAATGTAAGTTCCAGCAGCCAGAGCACTCAGCGTAATATGGAGAAAGAGCCTGGATACAGGGGAGATACCAGCAGCACTGAAATCAGCAGATATAGCTCCGTTGCACAAGAGCGGTAGTAAAGCCTTGGCAAAGAATTATAGACCAGTTGCACTAACATCACACATAATACAAGTTTTTGAAAGAGTGATTAGGAATCAAATTTCTAGTTTTATGGAAAATAATGAGTTACACAACCCAGGACAACATGGATTTAGAGCGGGAAGATCCTGTCTGTCACAGTTACTCAACCACTATGACAAAATAAACGAAGCATTAGAAGAAAAGCAAAATGCAGATGTTGTATACACAGACATTGGAAAGGCATTCGACAAATGTAACCATGGAGTGATAGCACACAAAATGAGGTCAATGGGAATAACTGATAAAGTAGGACGCTGGATACTCAATTTCGTGTCGAACAGGAAAGAGTAACAGTCAATCAAATAAAATCGAGTCAAAGCGCAGTTAAAAGCTCTGTACCTCAAGGTACAGTCCTTGCACCACTGCTTTTCCTTATTCTCATATCAAATATAGACAAAAACACAAGTCCCATCTTCGTGTCATCCTTTGCAGATGACACAAAAATCAGCATGAAAATTACGTCTGCTGAAGACACTGAAAAACTACAAGCAGATATTAACAAAGTTTTCGATTGGGCAGCAGAAAATAACATGATGTTTAACAGTGATAAATTCCAGGTACTCAGGTACGGCAGAAATGAGGATCTGAAACATAATACAGGGTATAAAACACAATCGAATCTGCCCATAGTATTGACTTATTAAATTCTATATAAGTCAGCATTTGATTTACAATCCAATTTAGAATGTTGAAAGTTTTGGCTCGACTATGACTTTAATTGGGTCACTGTCAGCCTGTTTTGTAAGCACTGACTAAATGACCGTAACCTAAATACCTTACCTAACTTTGCATAGGCTAACTCTACATAGGCCTACAATATTCATTTATGAGAAAAAACAAATTACGATTTTCTTATGTCTTATGAAAATTCATGCCGACATATGGCTGTCAGATACGTACGTAAATTTTATTGTCAGTTGTTGACATTAATGTAAGTCAGTATTTTGACTTACAACTGGGGTAGGGGGGGAGGGGGGGGGGGTTGGTCCTCATGGTTATAGACAAGTTACATCTACATTATGGGGCAGGTGCTTGCGGGGGTTGAGCTCTGGCTCTTTGGTCCCGCCTCTCAACCGTCAATCAACTGGTGTACAGATTCCTGAGCCTACTGGGCTCTATCATATCTACATTTGAAACTATGTATGGAGTCAGCCTCCACCACATCACTGCCTAATGCATTCCGTCCGTTAACTACTCTGACAATAAAAAAAATTCTAATGTCTCTATAGCTCATTTGGGCACTCAGTTTCCACCTGTGTTCTGTTGTGCGTGTGCCCCCTTGTGTTAAATAGTCTGTCTTTGTAGACCAGACCACACACTAGAAGTTGAAGGGACGACGACGTTTCGGCCCGTCCTGGACCATTCTCAAGTCGATTGTGCCATTCGACTGGACCATTCTCAAGTCATCCTCATCGCCTAGTCTGTCTTTATCCACCCTGTCAAATCCTTTAAGAATCTTAATGTTTGAGAGAGAGTGTGTGTGTGTGTGTTTGTGTGTGTGCGTGTGTGCGTGTGTGCGTGTATTCCAATATTAAGACAACTACTGACAACTACTATTTAGAGCTAAATGAACAGCGGCATCAGGTGAAAAGAAAAGGATCAAAACGTTACCCAAATGCTTCCGTACAGCCACGGGGATTGAACCCGCACTTCTCGGGTGTGACCCGATGACAGAGGGAGAGAGAGAGAGAGAGAGAGAGAGAGAGAGAGAGAGAGAGAGAGAGAGAGAGAGAGAGAGAGAGAGAGAGAGAGAGAGAGAGAGAGAGAGAGAAAAAAAAAAAACCTAAGGGAAGGGAACTATCAGGGGAAAGCGCCAAGCCAATAGGTCTATATAACCCTGGGAAGGCGTCAGGATTAGGATTTGGGATGCGACGTGGGGGGAGGGGGGGGGGGAGGGAAAAGATTGGTGCCCAACCACTTGTGGGCCGGTCGGGGATTGAACGCCGACCTGCACGAAGCAAGACCGCCGCCCTACCGTCCAACCCCAAGCGGTTCCTGAGGATAAAGGGAGAATGATAGCACGCGCACAGAGCTGAGGAGAGTATAGTCTCAGCTCTCCCCAGGACCAAGCTGAGGGTTTAAGCCCAGGGACCAGCCCAAATTAAGCTTTCACAGCGGCGAGTAATTGACCAAGATGGATCTCTGGTATTGGGGGTGAGAGGTGTGGGGGGCGGGGGTCAATAATTGGCGGAGAGAGGGTCAGTATAATTGGCTGGTGGAGGTTAATAATATGGCGAGGGAATTAATAATTAGCGTTGTTGAAGAATTATCTGTTGCGAATAATTATTGGCGTGGTGGGGTTAATACTTGGAGAAGGGGTCATTAATTGTTGGGGTTAATATGTGGCAGAGGGGTCAATAATTCTTGGGGGGGGTAATATTTGACCAAGTGGTCAATAATTGTCAGAAGTTAATCATTTGTGGGGATGAGCCATTGACGAGAGGGTCAATAATTGTCAGGGAAAGGTCCATATAATCCCAGGAAAGACAAGAATATGGTTAATATTGGCGGTCAGTGGGATGTCTTGGGGGGTCAACATTTTCCTGCAAGGTTAATGGGTCAATAATTGGCGAGAAGAGTCAACAATTTGGCGCGTGCCGGTAGGTGAAGGGCCAGAGTGACGAGGCATCTCCCTAGTGTGACTCCCAGTAATATTGGTCCTATTCTGGATAGTGTTGTGTTGTCTGTATTCACCTAGTTGTGCTTGCGGGGGTTGAGCTCTGGCTCTTTGGTCCCGCCTCTCAACTGTCAATCAACTGACGTACAGGTTCATGAGCCTCCTGGGCTCTTTCATATATATATATATATATATATGCGAACAAGCCTGAATGGTCCCCAGGACAATATGCAACTGAAAACTCACACCCCAGAAGTGACTCGAACCCATACTCCCAGATGCCACGCAACTGGTATGTACAAGACGCCTTAATCCACTTGACCATCACGACCGGACATAATGAGGTGATAGCCGAGGCTATTTGAACCACCCCACCGCCGGCACTCGGATAGTAATCTTGGCATAGCATTTTAACCAAATCACCTCATTCTTTGGGGCACACGTGAGGAACACAAATGCGAACAAGCCTGAATGGTCCCCAGGACAATATGCAACTGAAAACTCACACCCCAGAAGTGACTCGAACCCATACTCCCAGATGCCACGCAACTGGTATGTACAAGACGCCTTAATCCACTTGACCATCACGACCGGACATAATGAGGTGATAGCCGAGGCTATTTGAACCACCCCACCGCCGGCACTCGGATAGTAATCTTGGGCATAGCATTTTACCAAATCACCTCATTCTTTGGGGCACACGTGAGGAACACAAATGCGAACAAGCCTGAATGGTCCCCAGGACAATATGCAACTGAAAACTCACACCCCAGAAGTGACTCGAACCCATACTCCCAGATGCCACGCAACTGGTATGTACAAGACGCCTTAATCCACTTGACCATCACGACCGGACATAATGAGGTGATAGCCGAGGCTATTTGAACCACCCCACCGCCGGCACTCGGATAGTAATCTTGGGCATAGCATTTTACCAAATCAAATGATTTGATTTTACCAAATGAGGTGATTTGGTAAAATGCTATGCCCAAGATTACTATCCGAGTGCCGGCGGTGGGGTGGTTCAAATAGCCTCGGCTATCACCTCATTATTTCCGGTCGTGATGGTCAAGTGGATTAAGGCGTCTTGTACATACCAGTTGCGTGGCATCTGGGAGTATGGGTTCGAGTCACTTCTGGGGTGTGAGTTTTCAGTTGCATATTGTCCTGGGGACCATTCAGGCTTGTTCGCATTTGTGTTCCTCACGTGTGCCCCAAAGAATGAGGTGATTTGGTAAAATGCTATGCCCAAGATTACTATCCGAGTGCCGGCGGTGGGGTGGTTCAAATAGCCTCGGCTATCACCTCATTATGTCCGGTCGTGATGGTCAAGTGGATTAAGGCGTCTTGTACATACCAGTTGCGTGGCATCTGGGAGTATGGGTTCGAGTCACTTCTGGGGTGTGAGTTTTCAGTTCCATAT